AATTTAAAATTTAAAATTAATAATTAATAGGTGGACAAGTGGCATGATGTATGAAATATAATATTAATGATGAATTATAATAGTATGACACTTGTCAATAAGAGAATAAACATATTCATTTATTAGAATACTAGTTTATAACCCGTGAGAACCACAGTTATAAAATTAATAAACTTTCATATTAAAAAATTAAAACTATTAATCAATTATTTTAAATAAATTTTTATTAATAGATATTTTTTTAGTTATATAAAATTATAATCGTTAATTTAAATAAACACGTGAAGTTACATCACCTTATAATATGTATTAATTTTATTTTATTTTTTAATCTAATGTTATTAATTTAATGTAATTAAAGTGAGAAAATTTAAAATGAAGAATTAATTATTAATTTAATATAATTAGAATAGGAAATTTAATATTTTAAATTTGAAATGGATAATTAATAGGTTGACAAGTGGCATAATAGGTGATATATAATATCAATGAAGAGTTCTAATAATATGACACTTGTCAATAGGAGAATAAACCTATTCTTTATTTTATATATATATATATATATATATATATATTATATATCATGGTTCTAAAAAGCTCGCCATGGCGCGCCATGGCTCCAAGGCTTGTATGTGCCGCCAAGCTTTACCAAAACGCCGCCTTGACTCATATATGTATATAAAAATGAATAATAGTAGAAAATACATATAAAAATATGAATTATATACAAAATTGTCGCCTTAAGTCACGCCTTACAAACGACGTGGCTCGCCAAGGCTCGGAAAAGCTTGAGGCTTGACATTGCCACCAAGTCACGCCTTACGCTATTTAGAACCTTGATATATATATATATATATATATATATATATATATATATATATATATATATATGAGAAATTACATGAAATAACCATATCTTAAGATGTTTTCAACTTTTAACCATAAAATTTTGAAATTTGTAAAATGACAATCAGATCCGCAGAGGGTGCTCTGCGGATTCGTTTAACCTTCTGAGGATCTTAACACACCTCTACGGAAATGAGGTGACAACACTAAAGGATAAAATTTTTCGTGGTTTTTAGGGTTCCGCAAATGTGGCTCTGCGTATCGCTTAATGGGTCTGAGAATCAGTTAATAACTTTGAGGATCTGTTCTTGAACAAAACGGAGTGCCAAAATCAACAAGTCTATTTTTTGAATAACTTTTGTTACTTAATCATCATTTTTAATAATTTTTGTTACTTAATAATCCTTTTTGCATATAAAATCAAAATTAAAAATTAAAAAAATTAATAATTCCGCAGATATGAACATCGTTCCTCAATGGGGCTCTGCGGATCCGTTCTTGAGCAAAACACCTTTGCGGATCTGTTCTTCACAGAAACGATACTTCCATGGCAAAAATCGGAAAATTTTATCCTTTACTGCCGTCACCTTATTTCCGCAGAGGTGTGGTCAGATCCTCAGAAGGTTAAATTGATCCGCAGAGCACCCTCTGCGAATCTGGTGGTCATTTTACAAATTTCGAAATTTTATGGTTAAAAGGTAAAAACATCCTTAAGATATGGTTATTTCATGAAATTTCTGTTATAGCATAGTGAATCATATTATTCATTATCATTATTGTGAACGGTCGACTGACTTTACATTGCTAGATTATTCAAATACCGACATGTGTTACACAGCATGAACCAACAAAAAATAAAAGAAGATGAGCCACAAATTATTTAAAACACTACAATAGCCGGAAAATAAAAAATGACCAAAATTGTAACTGCCTGATAGTTGAAGGACGCTCTACGAAACTTACTCTAAAATTAAAGTTTAAACGGGAAAATAAGACTCGGTCAAACGTATTTCAAACCGTCGAAGTTGACATCAATGAGGGCCCGTCGTCAACTGCTGTCGAAAACCAACGCCGCCGCTACCTTCCCGGAAGAAGCCCGTGTAATCGCCATACGAACCACCCCGCCACGACCGAACATTGGCGGAGGACTCAGAAAAAAGGTTGTCGGAGTCCGGCAATGGCTCCTCCTAGATTCTACAGGTCAGGCCCAAGTCGTTGAGGCCGGTAAATACGCTGTCATGCGGCGGACGGGCTTACCTGCACGCGATCTCCGTATCCTTGACCCAATTTTATCGTATCCCTCCACCGTACTCGGCAGAGAACGGGCTATCGTCATCAACCTCGAACACATTAAGGCCATAATCACCGCACATGAGGTGCTTTTGCTTAATTCAACAGACCCATCCGTTGCTCCTTTCGTTGAAGAACTCCAACGCCGTATCCAGCATCATCATCTCGCAACTACATCGCAGGTTTTATCTTTCTTCCTTTTTCTTTCTCTAATCTGTATTCATCTCCAGCATTCCGTAAATAAGAATATTAACAAACGTTTCTTTCTCTAATCTTTTACAATAATTTGTATTAAGATGTTCTTTTGTAACAGGAGGAAAAGTCTGATGAAATAAACTGTAGAAATTTGTATGATTCAGGCCCAGAATCCACAACCAGTCAAGAGAAAAGTGAAGAGGTTAAAACCGAAGAAATCCCTTCTCTTGATAGCCGAGATGGACTAAAACACCTTTGTTTTGAGTTCATTGCATTGGAAGCTTGCCTCGAGGCTGCGTGCAGTTCACTGGACAAAGAGGTGAGACCTTTTATCGTTGTTGAAGTTATGGTTTTGTGTTTAACGTTTTTCTTTTAAATTTATCATGAACTAGGCAAAAACGTTGGAGAGAGAAGCGCATCCAGCATTAGATAAGTTGACAACAAAGATTAGTACTCTGAATTTGGAACGTGTTCGTCAAATTAAAAGTAGGCTGGTTGCTATTTCAGGACGTGTTCAAAAGGTTTGTGGGTTTGAATAAATGCGTTAAATTTCATAGTTGTCTTGAAGTATATCAACCCATTCTGTTTATGATGGATTCAAGATTATTGATTTAGGTTAGGGATGAATTAGAGCAGTTGCTTGATGATGATGGTGATATGGCCGAAATGTATTTGACTCATAAACTGGAGCTACAACTCGAAAATGCTTCTGTAACTTCTGTAAATGAGCAAGATTTGGCGGATGAACAAGTTCTTGACTCCGAAATGCATGACAGGTCTGTATTCCACTTCTAGTGGGTATGTGCAATAATTCGTACAGCCCTACCTTGTTTTAGCCATTAACAGTTTCGAACAGTAAGTACTAAATGGTTCAAGTTTATCAAAGATCCCCCTAATCTAATCCACAAGAATTATTGTTATATGTGTTTGCATTCTATTAGGGATCCATGTGAGAGCATAGATGAAGATGATTTCCAAAGGATGAATAGCCAGCAAGAACGTTTTTTTTTTGGATCTAACGTTTATGGAAGAGACAGTGGTGGGACCCGAATGACTAGCATGGCACGACATGGTATGAACAAACACCGTGATGTTGAAGAACTTGAAATGCTTTTGGAGGCATACTTTGTTGAGATCGATGGTACACTGAATAAATTATCCACGGTATGCATGCATGCATGTCACTCTACCATTTGTGTTAAATGTTTCAAAATCCAAGTGGTTTATTAAAATTTCTCAAATATGGTTTTCCCAGTTGAGGGAATATGTGGAAGATACAGAAGACTACATCAACATAATGTTGGATGACAAGCAGAATCATCTTCTCCAAATGGGTGTCATGTTGTCAACAGCGAATCTGGTAGCGAGTGCATTCGTAGTTGTGGCTGGAATATTTGGAATGAATATTAATATTGATCTTTTCAATGGTGACTCTCCTGCTGAGAAGGACATCGGTATGCGTAAATTTCTATGGACTGTTGGTGGTGGTACCACTGGTAGCATTTTCTTGTATGTTATGGCTATCTCTTGGTACAAGAACCAAAGGCTTCTAGAGTGATTAGATGTGGATATGCATATAGGATCTGACCCATTTAGGAGAGTTATTGTAGGGTACGAGTAAATGATCTTGTACATGTATAGCACCCACAATGACGTCAAATGGTATATACAACGTACCTAATGATAAGAGTTTAAACATTTAAAGCTCCATTTGCTGTAAAGAAGGAAGAAGCCAACATTTTCCTACTCAATTTGGACTGAGACGTCAATGAGATGGAAATTGCATTTTTCTTGTCCTACCCAAAAGATGGAACAATTTGGGACTGGATACCCTGCTTGTCCATATCACGTGATAGTTTCGTCGCATCTATTGTATATAAAAACATAGCATCTATTATATATAAAAACATAGACTACATGATCTTCGTGATCTTAGTTATAATTGAAGTTTAGTTTCAAAGAATAAAGTATGGTCATAGTGATACGGAAATACAGAAGGAACAACTATACCCAAAAACAAATACATGAACACTTAGGTTGTTCGGTGTGGTCGACGGGTAAAGGTGCCAAAGAGGGGTGGCTACCACATCACAACACCATTCCACCAACTCCAAGAGCTAGTGTTTATGCATGGAGAGGAAGAGATAAAAGGGGGTGGGGGAGTCATCTCTCTCTCTCTCTCTCATATGAAAGTCTGTAACCAACCACACGCCACACCACAACTATGCGACCCTGTGGCGGTGTCCGCGCGTAGGGTTGTGTACCACAACAACCATACTGAAGATCCGCAAGGACCATACATGATGGTAGGGGTGACAATTGATGGCACGACAAGACGAAAAGAAACTAATTGTTATGTGTGATAAATTATTAATTTAATAAACTAATTATTATTTTATGTTAAGGAAAATGACACATACGTCCTATGAACTTTTTAGGGTCTACTCTTTTAGTCATTTAACTTTTTAAGTGATTTTATGAGGGAACGAAGTGTGTGGAAACCTAGCAATTTAGTCTCTCTTATTATGCCTGGTAACCCTGCCACATCATCCCCATTTGACACATCATCAATGTTATGGCAAATCGTAACTACGACCCAACGACCCAAACGATGTTGAAACCTGGTTACCCTAACTGCATCCTTAACTTCAATCTCAATTGACAAAACCATGCCTTCACAATCATCTCCAAATCACAGTTGGTCACCCAACTATAGTCGGCAGATGGCTGAGAATGTCTCCAACGGAGTCACCCATGAAGACATGGCGATCAATCTGCTCCATACACAGTTGGAGTTATCGCTTGTAAGGGAGGAGATTGCAAACAACATTCGTGAAATACGACGTAGCATCACTAGAGACTTGGATGCCCTAAACCATGAAGTTGATGATGTTAGGGCAGGTCAGCTCGATCTATCTAACATGGTTGCTGATTTGAAAAACCATTTATGTTCACTACAAGCATCATATGTTAACATCGTTTTGGGTAAAAACAAGTGCACCAAAGTCAAATGGGTTGTTGGGGATTTTTGTTGTCGTTGTTGTGGGGTGTTAACCTACAAGTTCTTAAAATGCCTGAAGAACTTTAGGTTACAACATTTCTGTCGTCGGTTTGTATTTTTTATGATGTACATCTGGTTTATTGTCCTTATTAGTAAGGCGTTTTGTTTCTTGTGTTTTTGTTTCTGGTGGTAGTAGTTGGTGGTCGTGGTTGGTGTTTTTGTGATGATCAGTTTTTTGATGGTAATCACAGGTGATGGTAGTCGTATGTAGTAAGATACAGGTACAAATCCTATTTTAACTTGTCTAATAAATGTAAAGATGTAATACAAACCCATGAATGAAATGTTGGTTAAGTTAAAATATTGTTGTTATAGCTCTAAATGTACATGTAATATGTATAGAAACAAACCATCAATTATATATGTGATTAAGTAATACCCGGATTTGTTGATGTTCTTCCCGGGACCACATGAAAAAGTCAAACTCTTTTAAACAATGAAAAATAGGGGCCACAATGTTTTTGTTCGGGACAAGGGACAAAATAAAAGAATCTAATACACGAGGCATCTTCTTGGGACCACTGTTAAGTCCTTGTCTTTAACCCAGAAATAGAAAACCATGGAAAAGTTCTTTTTTGTTGTTTTAGTGCTTGGTCACTTGGACAATTGACTAGAAAACCTGAAATACCCTTAATGGGTTAAGTCACATAAAAAGTACTAACTGAAATGCCTACAACACCCCTTCAAGGTTACCTGACATAAATGACTAAAATAACCCTAATGGGTTACCCACTTTGAATGACTATCTTATATGACTAAACTACCTCTACTGTTGTAAATACTTGAAATACCTAAACTATCCCTAACTTCTTAAATATTTGTAATGCCTAAACTAACATTACTTCCCTAAGTATCTTATAAAAATTGTTTATGGAAACATCATCGTTATCATTTCAAAACATCAAATCACAGATCAAAAGTCTCAAAAACCATAACATCAAATAGTAAAATATCAGAGTACAATTCCAGGGTTCTCAAAGCAGAAATCGTATGTGTGCGATGCGCTGCTACCCTGCTGGCTCATTCCCCTTAGCTGAAGAGGTACCTGAAACCAAAACTGAAAACGGTAAGCATGAAGCTTAGTGAGTTCCCCCAACATACCACATACCATACAATCATACATACTGTCAGGCAGTTCTGGGGTGCCCGGCCTACCCATGTCAAGCCATTCTGGGGTGCTGACCGACCCATGTCAAGCCATTCTGGGGTGCTGACCTACCCGTGTCAGACCATTCTGGGGTGCCTGCTTACCCTCCGGTCTATCTCACCCGGTCACGGGGACTCTTTCACCCCCTACTACTATCACATAATATCATATCATAAACATTCTGTCAGACATATTTGGGGTGTCCGACCTACCCTTCGGTCCTAACGACCGAATCGGGGGACTATTCCCCTCCTACTACCACTTATCACATAGAACATATCATACTGGCACATAAAACACATCAATTAATAACAACCCAGACAATTATCACAAAGACAATCATCTCAACTATAATCAACTACTAGTGGGTCGGCCTTGGTGCCTTAGACCCACTTCTACTGGAGGGTAACTCACCTCAACGTCGTGTAGTGCTTGCACTGTCCTTGGTGTGAAAATCGACTCTGCCCGACTGCTCAATCCCTACACAACATCCTTTCTACATTACCAACTCATACTCATAACCCTTACAAGGGTCGCTAAATTCCAAGTCAAACTCAAAGTCAAAACCCTAGTCAAAGTGAAATTTTTGGTCAAAGTCAACATCTGGTTGACCAGACTCGCCGAGTTGGTTCACCAACTTGTCGAGTCCCCTCGTCCATGAATAGCTAAAACTTCGTACCTACTTGTCGAGTCTAGCAAGAGCTCGGCGAGTTCGCCTTCAACAACACATAGGGCTATCTTCAACCGACTCGCCGAGTTCGTCCTTGAACTCGTCAAGTCCATCTTCATCCGTATGAAGGTGTTCAGTCTATGGCTCGCCGAGTTTCCCTTGAACTCGCCGAGTCCGTCTTCATGTGGTTGGGACATTGTCTTGAACTCGCCGAGTTAGCTCATACACTCGCCGAGTTCTATGATTTCCAGGTCCCTAATGAGCCTAAACAACTGAGGGACCTTCAATCTTAGCATCTGGTCCATCAATAGAAAGGATTTTATGGAAAATACGTCCCGACTCGCCGAGTCCCATGAACGACTCGCCGAGTCCCTCTTTGTCCAAAACTATACAGTTGATTATAATGGGTCTTCATGCATCAAAACCATAGATCTAACCTCCTAGGTTCCATTTCATACGTAAAGCTACGAACTTGATGTCCATGCATGGGGTTTTTGGCTCCAAAGTCCATAAAAAGGGGTTTATAAGATGCATGGGCTTCCTATGGCCATAAGGTTGGCACCTTTATGCCATAGGAACCCTCAATGGTTCAAGATCTAAAGTGTAACTCCATGATACACACTCAATCCGAATATGGCCTTAGAAATGCCCCCAAAATGATAAGATCTAAGCCCTAGAGGAGATCTATCAAATGAGAAGTCAAGGTTGAAGCTTTTTACCTTGAATGGGATGGAAATAAGTCAAAACCTCTGGACCTACTAGTCTTCTCTTGATCTTCCAAGCTTCTTTCTCTTCTTCAAACTTCAAACTACCACAAAACACACAAAAATGGCTCAAGATCACTCATACAAGGTTAGGGTTTCAATCTAGGGCTTCTCTGAATTGGGAGGGGTGATGGAGGCTGATTTGGGATGAGATAAAGTGTTTAAATAGGGTGCAAACCCTAAATATTAGGGTTTTGTCCAGAAAGCTCCTACTCGACGAGTCGGTCCCCCGACTCGTCGAGTAGATCACTAAAACCCCCGCATAATGTCGAGTCTACTCGACGAGTTGGGCTTCCAACTCACCGAGTCCCAAAGTAGAATACCAAAATACTTGGATTTAAATACATACCAGGAACCAGGTGCTACAAATCTCCCCCACTTATTTTAGACTTTGTCCTCAACGTCTACTGCTGAATCCGGAAACAGCTCGAGGTAGTGCTTCCTCATCTCGTCCTCCGGCTCCCAAGTCCATTCCGAGCCCTTGCGGTGCTGCCATTGCACCTTCACCAGTTCGACCCTCTTGTTCCTCAGATCCTTCGACTTCCTGTCGAGAATAGCTACTGGTCGCTTGATGTAATTTAGGCTGTCATCCACCTGAATTTCCTCTAAAGGCACCACTGCTGAATTGTCCACCAGGCACTTCCGTAACTGGGAGACGTGAAAAGTGCTATGAATCTGACTGAGTTCGGCTGGCAGGTCCAGCCTATACGCCACCTTTCCCACCCGGGCAATGACCCTGAAAGGTCCTATGTACCTGGGGCCCAACTTTCCCTGCTTCCTGAACCGGATGACGCCTTTCCAAGGCGACACCTTCAGGAGCACCATATCCCCAACCTAGAACTCTAGGTCCGAACGACGCCTGTCGGCATAAATTTTCTGCCGACTCTAAGCAGAGTCTGAAGCCTGCTCTGCACCTACTGGATCCTCTCCGTAGTCTTGAGTACCACTTCGGTACTCTCCATGACCCTCTGGCCAACCTCACCCCAGCATATCGGGGTCCTGCACTTCCTCCCGTACAACATCTCGAAGGGAGGACGGTCAATACCCGCATGATAGCTGTTATTATAAGAAAACTCAGCCAAAAGAAGGTAAGTATCCCAACTACCTCCGATGTCTAAAACGCACGCCCGCATCATATCCTCCAGAGTATGGATGGTCCGCTCACTCTGACCATCCGTCTGCGGGTGAAAAGCGGTGCTAAAGTGCAGACGAGTACCCAACTCGTCATGAAACTTCTTCTAGAACCTGGAAGTGAACCGCACATCCCTGTCGGAAATCACCAAAGCTGGCACTCCATGTAGGGCCACAAGCTCCCGAATATAGATGTCGGCCAACCTCTCGGCCGAAATGCTCTCCTGGATCGGTATGAAATGGGCACTCTTGGTCAACCGATCCATGATGACCCATATCGAATCCACTCCCCGTGCGGTCCTGGGAAGCTTAGTGATGAAGTCCATGGTAATATCTTCCCATTTCCATATGGGGATGTACAACGGCTGCATCTTGCCGTGAGGCCTCTGGTGCTCAGCCTTGACCTTCCTGCAGGTCAAGCATCTCTTAACATACCAAGCTACATCCTGCTTCATACATGACCACCAATAATCAGGACGAAGATCCCTGTACATCTTCGTCGCCCCGGGATGGATTGAAAACCTGGATTTGTGCCCCTCCTCCATCAATACTTGGCGCACACCTCCATGATATGGGACCCACACTCTACGATGTAGTGTCAACAATCCACGGTTGTCATAATCGAAGGAGGAAACCTGGCCCACAATACGCTCACTCTTACGATGTTCCTCCTTCATAGCTCCTGTTGGGCCTCTCGAATCCGCTCCAACAGCGGAGTCACCACATTCATCCTCAAGCAAATATCTCTGATCGGTGCTGCCTTGCGGCTAAGCGCATCGGCCATGACATTGGCCTTCACCGGGTGGTAGAGGATCTCGCAATCGTAATCCTTCACCACATCTAGCCATCGACGCTGTCTCATGTTTAGATTCGGCTGATCCATAAGGCACCTCAAACTCTTATGGTCAGTGTAAATGGTACAATGGACCCCATAAAGATAATGACGCCAAATCTTGAGGGCGAAAACAACTGCCCCCAACTCCAAATCATGTGTCGGATAGTTCGCCTCATGAGGCTTCAACTGTCTCGAAGCGTAGGCGATAACATGCCCCCTCTGCATCAATACCGCGCTGTAACATCCCGTTTATTAAATAAATAAATAGACAAATTTATGAATGAATAGTAGCCCTAAAAATCAATAATAATATAGCAAGGTGTTGGTCTCGAGGAGTTAATTGATACAATTTTGGAAGTTGGGGGTTAAAAGTGTAAGTTTCGGAGTGGTTTGTAAATATTTATGAAGGAAGGGACTTCTTGGTAAATTATTGGGACTTAATTTGAAGAGATTTGGGAGGCTAAGGGGCCGAATGGTAATTTTTGGACCTAAAATGAAATGAATTTATGGAATCAGGGGCTAAAGGGTAAATGTTGGATTAAAGCTGAAAAGATTTTTGTGAGGAGGGGCTGATTTCGGAAATATG